GGGCTTGTGCTCAAGGTGGACATTTAGAAAACACATAGAATCTTTGAAAAGCTCAATGCTTTACCGCCTATTTTAGGGAATAAAGACAGGGAAAAAGAAAAATCTTTCAAAATAATGTCAGCTGCTAAAACCAAAGGCCCTGTTGCATTTTGGTCAGCATTTTGCAACTCTGGAGAAGACCGTGTCTTCCTCTTTGTGAGCCCTCTTGGTTAGCACATCACCAAGTACGCTGTCAATACCTGCAAAGTACTGGCAGCTTCCAGAGGCACACCTGGCCCTCGGAGGGGCAGCATCCCTGATGGAAGATGCTTCATGAGTCATGAGACTTACATCCTTAGAACATACTGGTTCTCTTGTGTAATATGGGGACCCACTGTTTCTCAACACCGATCTATGTTCACAGCCTTGGTGAGGCAGAGCTGGAAACACTGGAAGTCAGATTCCAGCCTTGTACTAAGTCATCTTGGCCGCTGATAAGAGCACAGTAAAATGCTTTCGGGCCTGGCCTTGTGCGCGATCCAATGTGTCCAAATGGAGCTCAGTGCCGACACCAACGAACGTTGCAGAGGCGCTTCCTCGGCTCTCATGCTGCATTCGGTGTCTCTGATGGTTCCGGGTGTCCCTGTGAATGCCTCGACATAAGGCCTTCGCCAAATTCAGCGTGCCGACCAAGGACAAGCCCCCAAAACACATCTTCAGGTAGAAGCTTTAGGAAGACAAATTTCCTTCCTACCAAATGGCTGATTCTTCTCCTTCTTCTTCTTCTTCTTTGAATACCAATGGGAAGTGTCATTTTCTATTCTTCCTTTTGCCATTCCCTCTTCTAAAAGTGACGTATCCTACCTTTATTCAGAATAATTAACGTGTATTAAGTATAACTTATTTAGTGTCTTCTCACTAGACTAGAGCTTCTCACACCTTATTACACATGAAAAACCACCAAGGAGTGTGTCAGCAACGCAGAGTCCTTCCCCTCACACCTGGGTGCAGACATTCTGGGAATTTGCACGTTTAGATCACAAGTCTCCCAGGTATTCCTGACGGCAACAATTCTGATCATACTGGAAAAACATCTCCTAGTCAGGCTCCACATTAACCTGAGCCAACGAAGGGCTGTTTAACTAGGTCATATGTCTCTGGTCCCTCTGATTAAGATTGATGTCACTGAATGACACTGATGTACAACTGCATGAGAGACAGCCAACCCCATGAGATGCAGACCTCGACATATGGATATGCACACCAGATAGATGATAGCCAGATGGAATGGATGGATGGATAGACAGACAGACAGATGACAGATGGAATAGACAGACAGATACACAGACAGATTAAAAGTACAGACATGATTTATTGTCTAACTAGTAGACCTTGAGAGGGAGAAGCACAATCCAACAATTTTGCCAAGACAACAGGCATAATCCAGGGCTTCCCAGAATGCCTCGTGGCCCTACCAATAAGTGCTTTTCTCAGGACCTCCCTGTAATCTTACAATAACAAATCAAGGAACACACATTTCACTTGACTCAGAATCAACAGCTGGGCATCTTCCCCACATTAGTCTTCTTTTATCCTATGGGACACTGAGTCATGGTTCCCTTTGCACTCCCTGCTGACACCTTGGAGCCAAGTAACACCCACTTTTTGCAACTGAGCAAGATTGAAAAGTTTGCACTTATACATATATGTATACAATCTCTCTCCTGGTGTCACTGTCTCTGTTTCTATTTTGGCCCATGCTCTCCATCCATTTATGTTTTAAGTTGACTCTACCTTGCTCTTTTGTGTGTTATTTGTGTGAACTTTCTTAAATCCGTTTTGCCATAAGGAGGCAGAGTAAATATATTAAATAAGGGAATACATATTTACTCATGAGGGATATTTTATCAGTTTCCTTATAGCTCTGGAGTTAAAGACAGTATCAACACCAGGGACTTTGAGAAGTGAGGAACGTAAGTTCAAGGTCCCCATCTGAGCACTGACAACGCCCCAGGTCCTGCCTTCTCACCTCTCATTCTAACCACCAATTCTCTGGCCAGTGTATGTGGGAACCATTTTTAGGTCTAGGACATGAACGTCGGGAGGTAGTTGATTGCTGGTACAAATACTTAGAAATAATAACTTTTTCAGCTATTTTTATGATGTCCACTCCTAAGTGTTAATCAAGGCATCTAACTATTAAAAACTGTATGAACCTTCAGAACCAGGTCTGGAGAATCCTATCTCTGTATGCAGAGCACTCTCTGCCCAAAATGTGCCTGAAGGAGGCCTGGTCCTGAGCGAGGGTGCAGGTGTGGGTGCAGCAGCTGACAGAGCTGCCCCACGTCCTGCAACCTCACAGCCATGCTGGGGAACAGGCTGGATTGTGCAATGCGGCTGTGTGTGTGCATGCACACGTGTTCATCTGTATGTCTGTGTATGAGCACACATACATGAAGCTTGACCAATAACTGAAAGACACAACTTGCAAAATCAGCCACAATTAACTCTTACAAACACTAGTAACCGAATAACTGCCTGCGTTTGTGTGAAGCAACCCCAGGCGGGAGCAGCTGAAAGAGGACTTTCTTCAGGAGCTGAAACCAGCCTTTACACAAACACTGACTATGAGCCAATCTGCATGGCCAGCCCCCCACCCACCCGACAGGCACTGAACAAGCACCTACCACAGATCAGAAATGGTGGAGGCTCAGACTTGGTTGAATTGGCCCTTTGCCACTTCCCCATGGGAATCTCTCTCCTGTTTTCTAAACATTTTACTTAACATAGAAAGCCTCAAGAGCTGGCCCTATTGGGAAGGACACTGATGACATCAAAGCATACTGATGGCGTGACAGAATCATGACCTCATTGGTTAAAGGACGGTAAGTGGCACCAGGCATTACCTAGTGGGTCTGTGATTCCATGAGGAACCAAGACAAGAATTTTCAATGCAGGCCTTTTGGCAGACTGATTCTCTCATCTTAGAAAACTAACTTTGCCTAAATTGAAGAAATTACATAATTCCTAAGGGGCACAGCAAAGGGTGAGGTGGGCTTGCGTGGCAGTTTCTTAGGTTTCTACCTCACCCTGTTTCTGTCCAGCCAGTGCCCCTCCATGTCCCCAGGCACCCCCCTGATCTCAAGCCTTTCTGAGATGCCACACATCCAGGATGGGCAACTTGGACGTTTCATTTCTACATTTTTCCCCCATTCAAAAGGAAATGCCTCCTGCTCTAAGCGCAGTGACAAGTGATACATCTTGGGTAGTATCTCAGTTGTCACAATCAAGCCAAATACATGGCTTCTGTATAGTTTAAGTGTCAGCTGTGTTTCAATGAACATTAAAACCAGTTCTGTTCCTCTCATAAGGCACACATGAGTCTTTATCTCTGCAGGGCCCTACAAAAGCCCTGCAAGGTGCTTCAAGATCAGGGTCGGCCACAAAAGCTGACCCTTTTCATACCTAACGGTATCAAATCAACCTCATACAGTTTGCTGAAAGCCACACAGTGACAACCTTGCAGAGAAACCCAGCCCAAGAATCTAAGCCAGGTGCTTTGCCAAGTACTCTGCCTTCTTCCCTTTCCTGTGTGGAAGGTGACAGAATTCCACTGGACATGAGCTGATGCAGAATAAGGGGTGGGAGTTGTACCATGCAGAGGATTTGGACCTGCCTGTCATCACTCTCTCCGGGTGAAGGGACAGGCAAGCTCACACACGCTTCACCCATGTGGACCTTTTAGGAGCATGGCCACGAGGAATGACTTGTGCATGCAGCCCAGTGGCTAGGCTTCATTCCCTCCCTCCTCCCTCAGTTAGTATTCACCTACTACCTGCCAGGCACTGCACTTCACCACTTAGGCAGGGCCATTGTGGGGCTCACACTCTATGGAGGGAGGAAGATAAGAAGCAAACACTCACATAAATGTACACTGTACCGACAGATGGGAATGAATATCCTAAAGAAAACCGGGGCAGGCGGGGGCCTGAGAGTCACTGGGAGCAGTAGGGAGGGGCTCTGGAGGGGGTGGGCAGGAAGGGCCTCTCTGAAGAGGTGTCTGCACAGAGCCCAGTGAAGGGCAGGGCTACCTGGAATCGAGGTTTTAAGGCTGAGCTGACAGCAAGTGCAAGCCCCTGCATAGAATGGCAGGGTGACCAGATGGCTGGACCGAGTAATGGGAAGGGCCCAGGGTGACTGCCGTCAGGGACTGAGATTTGATCTGAAATCCAAAGAGAGAATGAAGGATTCTGGCAGATCTAATTCTAACGTGGCCTCTCATGAGCTGTCTGCCCCCCGAAAAGTTAGCTGGCGACACAGTTGGTCTCCCTTTCCCTCGTGGGAACACTGTGATGAGAACACCTATGTCTCAGGACCGTGGGAGATGATGGCCCCGAAGGGCTTCCTGAAATATCCAATGCCGAGCCAGGCCCACCATGTGGTGGCTGTTGAGGTTGGCCTCATGGTAACTCTAGTTTTATGCCATGCGTTTCCTCTCAGGAGCCTCAAGTCTTTCTTCCGATTACCTCGAGCTTTGCTAAATAACTATGTGCCTGCTATTTTCCTCCGCGTCACTGCCCTGAGCTGAGTTCAGAGTTAATTCTATGGTGAACAGTGACTCTTGTTCCCGGGATCTGTGTTACAGGCCAGGGAGGACGGGAACGCTGGATTCTAGGAACAAGCAGTGGACTGTTCCCAACTTGTTATTTTCCCAGATAAGGAAAAAAAAAACTTAGAAAGAACCAACAAGGTATCATCTATTATGAACAGCATTTCATAAAAGAAAAGGTATTTAACACCAAATAATCTCAGAGAAAGGGTAATTCTTGCCTCTAGGTCTCTTTTCATGGACATCCTCTCTCACGCACGCACACGCACACGCATACACCAGTGACCGCTTCAGCACACAGAGACCCACGCCTGCTGGCTCCCATGTGCAATCACTGCTCTAGACCACAGAGGGTGACAGAAGCCACAGGCAGGAAGACACAGCTCTGTGACACCTTGGACAGGCATCTGACCTGCTGGGACGATGACTCTGCGCTCGTTCGTGGTCATGTTTGGGGGTGGCATGTGCTTCTCCTCCATGTAGCTGCCGTAGTTCATCCCGACTGTGTCTGGGCTGCCCACCATCTTCCCGCCTTTGGCCACGCTGCATTCGTCAGGGGAGTTTCTGGCAAAGAGAAAGATACATTCCCTTATTACTGTGGCAACTGGAAAACATGCCTCGCTGGTCTTGCTGTGATTCAGAGGGAGACAAGGGAGGAGAAAGGAAGGCGAGGTAGAGGAGATGGAGAGAGAGAGCAGGAGAGGCAAGCGAGAGGAGGCAAATGCAGGGCCTGCCAGGGACGGTCAGGGACTGAACGTGTGTCCCCCCAAAGTCTGTATGTGGAAGTCCTAATCCCTGGTGTGGTAACATTTGAAGATGGGGCTCTCAGAGATAAGTTTCGATGAAGTTGTGAGGGCGAGGCCAACATACTGGGTTCGTGCGCCCTTATAAGAAGGGGAAGAGACCAGAGAGCTCTCTGTAGCTGCCCTGTGAGGACACAGGGAGAATCGGCCTCCACAACCCAAGCAGAGGGCTCTCGCCAGACACCACACCCACCAGCACCTTGACCGTGGACTCCCAGGCTCCAGAACTGTGAGAAAAAAGTGCCTGTTGTGTGAGCCCCTTGGTCTATGGTATTTTGTCACTGGCCGCCTGAGCTGACTGTGACAGTGGCCAGGCTCGGTCCCAGCACAGAGCAGGCACGTGGGGAGCAAAGCTGCCACCTGGCTTCTATTTCTTCAGCCAGCTCCTCCTGAAACTGTCATGTCAAAACCATCTGTGACAACTGATTGGAAACACGTGCAGAAAACAGTGAACTGCCGTTTGTTCTCGCTGCGTGACAGTCAACAGGCCACGCACACAGATGCTGGGAGGCGACCCCGGGCGCGCTCAACAAGGCTCTTCCTACAATGACGTTCCTCTTTTTCAAAACCTCAGAGTGAAACCCTTGTGTGGAATTTCACATTCCAAGTTCAAGCCAGCTTTTCGTCAGGGAACTTGGAGGCTCACGAGGTCCCAAGCTCCGGGGCCAGCAGGCAGGCAGGGAAGGGGCAGGCTGGCGCCCTGGAGGCAGCCGAGAGCACACGCCAGCGCCCTGGGCTGGGGGCATGTGGCGCACAGCGTGGGTGCAGGAAGGGCTCGGCCGGGGGGCCGCCAGGCCCCAGTTCACAGGGCTGCTGTTAGTAAGGCAGCCACGGCCATGAGGAGAAAGACAAACTTGCCTTCTGGAAAAAGAGAAAAGGGAATTTATTTTTTTGGAAAGATTTTTTTGAGATTGGAAAGTTATAGGACATAGTAAAATCCTACCTAATAAGGAAACTCCCAAGAAATAGAAAAATCCAGCTTCCCCAGGAAACAGAAAAATACGTCAAAACCTTCTTAGACGGTTACCCCACAGATGGCAAATCCAGGGTTACTGTAGTAGAGGGGCCTCGGCCCGGGTTACGCCTTCAAAGGTGGGTTTCTAGATATTCCCTCTCCAGCTCGACCCTACACGTGACTTTTCATTTTCTGGGAACCACGAGTCTCCAGCGGATTTTAGATTTCCACCCCGAAGTGGAAGGCCTGAGGGTGGGGCGTCTCCTCCATGCTTTGTTAGTGGGAACTCTGCGGCCCCCTCATGGAATCATGGAACTATAGTCCTGGCGTAGACTTTGCTTTCAAATCTGAGAAGGTCGCAGCCATCCGAGGCAGGAGGCTACCCTGTGGGTGCCACAGAGCTGAGGAATGAAGGTCACCCCAGACCCGACGGCCACAGCAGGGGAAGGGCACACCGGGGCTGCGCAGCTCTGGAGAGAATTCATTCAGCGCCTGGGAACTGTAAAAATACAGATGTGCCCTCGGCGTCACTTGCTCACGTGTCTGGTTCTGCTGGCTGACCGCGGGTGAGGAGCGGTCAACGTCTGTGGATGGCGATCCCCGCCGGGGCCTCCCAGGACGAAGCTCGACCATGGGCCTGGAAACGCACCGCCCTGCTCCACGGCGCCCTCACAGCTGTACTAACATGACGGATATTTAAAAATAATAACCGTCGGAGTTCCCAGGGTGCAGGTCCTCTCCATTTCCAGCGCTGCCTACACACACAGTATTTCCTCTTGATGCAATTTTTCCTGGCTTCAAACATTTATCTCTAAAAGACCCATCCTAGTATCAAAACACCGAGTGTCTTCGCTTGAGCCTTAGTTTCCTAGCCCTTTGGAAAATTCCATCAGTTGAGTGGAGTATATGTTTTGGTCTATTTGTCTCAAGAAGAGAAGTTACCAGGGCAGAGAGTTAAAGGGATTTGGTTCTTTAGGAAAAAGAGGAGATGCGACTCGTGATGAGCGTAACTGGAGCAATGGCTCTCAAGTCTAGGATGAACCCTGCTCAGATTCGTTCACTCCCTCGTCCATTTAGGCCATTTTAATCGAGTGCCAGCTGTATACTGGGCACCCTAAGTTCTTTCTTTTCCCGCAAGACAGTTAACTACTGAAAAACTTAAAGGTCAAAGAGATATAGAGAATTATAGAAGTAGGGGAATGGGGGAACTATGGACCCTTCAGACCAATTCTTGCACTTCCTTCATTTTTAAAGGCTTAATTTCTGCATCTGAAGACACGTGCTGTAGGCATGGGTTACGACAGTTTTCCTGTGGTACAAAACTGAACCCCCATCAAATCCAGAGACAGGATGGGCCGCTAAACTGCATTGCCGAGAGCTGTCCAAAACTGTGTCTAAGTAAGTATTTAGAGTCAGAGCAATTTTAGTGAAGTTCCTTTGTTTTCATGTCATAACTACGAGACCTAATTCATCTCATTAAGCTTTCCCAGCCCAGCTTTCACTGTAAAATCAGACCATCAGACCTGAATTTCCAAAGCTGCACCTTCAGGACAAAGAAAAAAAAAATCATCTTTTTTCCCCACTGTGTTTTGTTTCAGCTTCTGAGGAAGACAGGATGGAACTATGCTGCTGATCATTTCCAACAGCGTTTGTAATAAACCCACAGGCACGCCAACCTGGAGCAGGGAGAGGGTCGCCCATTGGTCCACATGCTGGACTCCAAGTAGGTAGTTAACAAAATCGGCCAAAGGGGCCTGAAGAGTTATATTCTCACTTTACAGTCATTTCCCCTTGTTTTCACTCTTGGGAATCTCGACAGCGAAAGTGGGGCATCGTGGTGCGGGCCCTGTTCCCAGGGCTTATCCATCACAGTGCCCCGAGAGCCTGGCGCGGCAGGTGGGAGACACAGCCAGGATGCGCATAGAAAGACCCAAGAAGCCAAGGCAATTCCCAGGGAAGAAGTTTTTTCAGGGCCATCTATTAGGCCCTGCTTTAAGAAAATGAAACCTTAACATGATTGGGAGATCTGCCAAGTACGTATTTAAAAGTCTCACCGTAAGTACGCTCTTTGCCCAGGAGTGGTGAGAAAGGGCACACGCTGCAGAGTCTGCCTCCTTGCCAAGGGCGCTGTGCTACACCGTCACCGTGCTACACCATCGCCAGGCTACCCTGTCACCAAGCACTCTAGGCACACCAAGTCAACGGGAAACTTCCCACAGGCGGTTTGGGGTTCCACCTGCACCGAGCCTTGCCTAGCAGGAGAGGATCACACGTTCTCTACTCTACCATCGTAAGGGTTTGGACATTTGACACGTTGCTTCTGAAAGGCACACACACAGCCAAGAGCATTCCTTTAAGTACTGTCTTCTTCGTATTCATATAGGTGTTTTCTAGCAGTTTCTGTGAAAATCCTAAAGTAATTCATCAGATGCTTGCTAAATGGGTAACTGTCTCGGCAAATAGGAAATGTCTCTGTCTTACTGTTTGGGGCATACATTTCTTTATTGCCTAGAAGCATGGTTCCAGATATTTCTCTCAGACTCTTTTAAGAGCATACAAAAGGTTCTGCACAAATCGAACCACCATACGCTGTCACCTCACACCTGTCAGGGCGGCTATCCTAACAAAACAAAGGGTACTAGGCATTGTTGGGGAGGCGCAGCAACCGCGGTCCTCACAGTACTGTTGGTGGGAGTGCACAAGGGTCCAGCCACAGCAGAAACAGTATGAAGGGCCCACGAACAGGCTTAAAAATGAATAGCCACGTGACCCAGCAGTCCCGCTCATGCATATTTATTCAAAAGAACTGAGCTCGGGATCCCTAAGAGCTGTCGGCACTGCCTCGTTCATCACAGAACTACTCACGACGGTCACACCGTGGCAGCAGCCTACAGGTCCACTGACGGGGGAATGGACCCAGAAAATGGGGTGTCTACATACAGAGAACACTGTCCTACCTCCAAAGAAGGAAGCTCGACAACACATGACAACACAGGTGAACCTTGAGGACATTGTGCTCAGTGAAATAAGCCAGTCACGGAAAGACAAGGATTATGTGATTCCACTTATATGAGCCATCTAAAATAGTCAAATTCAGAGAACCAAACTGTGAAGTTGTCATTAAGGGGGGATGGGGAGAGACAAATGGGGGAGGCTGGGGACAAAGCAAGGTGTTCCCAGCATACAGCTCTCACTGCATCAGCTACAGACCTCAAGAGACAGCGTGTCCTCAGCCAGCCCTTCATTTCTTGCTTTGGAAAAGAACTGGCTAACCAGAGAGATGAGTGCAGGAACAAAAAAATAAATGAATGATTTAAAAAATGGAAAGCTCTTGAGAGGTGGCACGCTATACAGTCCAGTGTCCACCACCTTCTGATTTCTATGTTTTAAAGTCAAATTTGTGTCCGAGAGCACCGATGTACTGGGGGGAAACACACAGCCACAGGCTTACTGGGTTGCTCTTCTGCCTGGGATTGGACTCACACCAGGAGGGCCTCCAAACTCCTTTCAGGGACCGACACAGTAATAAACGTGTGGGTAAAGCATTTGAAGTGCTGCCCGCACGTGATACATGCTACGGGCTAGCCGTTACTACCTTCTCATCAACTCAATGCCACAAGGCCAACACCGGCAGCAGGGACTCTACGGGGGAAGCACAAAGAGGTTGATACAGGCCGGCCCAAAGTCACTGGGGCCCTGAGTCCAACTACTTGACCACCTCACTCTAGGGTCCTACCTGGTGACTCCGTGCGAGTGGTCTCTTTCACAGACCTAAAACGTAAAGCTGACACGAAACTGACCCTCAG